CCTTGTGAAAAAAACAAACAAACTTAAGGTTCCTGGAATTTTCATCTTTTATAGCCCATTACAAGGCCATTCTTTCTCTTATCAGCTATCTGATATTGCATATTTGTATTGTGTTAACCATTTTCAGGCATAACAGCTTAAAATTTGTTTTTTTCTGCATTTTCTTGGAAAATTTATAAAACTAACAAAAAAAACCTCATTTGATTTCCATCCAAGAAGAGGGTCATCTTTCACATCTTGAAGAGATATTGCAACACTAGTAATGCTTTCAACTAAATGTTGCATTTCTGTTCTAGTTCCATTTCTTATTGTAATTTCCAGCCATGGGAATTTTTTATTTTTCACTGCTGTTTGATTCCTCAGTTAACTAACAAGGCTGGGAATTGTGGAGTTGTTCCTTTACAAAGGGACTGTGTCCTCACATTTCTAGTTCAAGTTAAAACCTGGCTGGAAAACAATATCTCAAGCAGGTCATTTTTCCATTAGTGGAAATCAAAGGTTATTATAGGAAAAATATCCCTCCCTTTGGGTATATAAGTAACTAGGAAGTGCTTTGTTATTTGTGAAGTGATTTATCATTCATACGATGAAAGCCATCATTTTTCATAAGCTGTATTTTAAAAAAAAGCAACTGGTTCTATATGGGATTTATATGGAGTCCTATATGTTGGCCTATTTTTTTTTAAAGATTTATTTATTTATGCATACAGAACTGGTGCAGGGGTGGTGAGAGGATTCACCAGAGACAGAGTGGAGAACAGAAGAGGCTGACTGACGAAGAACACTGCTGAGGGAAGCAGCGGGCTTAACAGGAGAGGTCTGCTGTGCCATGTGGGTCACCTTCCTGGCCAGGGATAAAATCCAGGCCATTGTAGCTGGGGATAACTTGAGAGCATGAGATTTAGCCCCTGCCCTGCCAGGGAAGCCCGTAACTTATCATTTTAAAGTAATCCTCTAATATCAGTTTCTAGTCTCTCATAAATATGTGTGAATCCATAGAAAATAGATAATGTATAGTGGACATAGTGTGTGCCTTTGGATTAACATAAGACACTCTCTTTCTAGGGATCTTGGTAGAATCTGTCCACAAACCATCTCGGTCTAGTCTGTTTCAATCCTTAGTGGGGCTAGGAAAAGAGGGGCAAGATTGTTCTTTAACTTCAGTTTAGTTATAGTCATATAGATTTCTACTGCTTCTTAAGATAGCTTCATTAATTTGTTATTCTAGGAAATGAGCTACTCTATCTGATTTTGAAACTGACTGACATAAATCTGTACATATCAATTTTACACATGAAAATAAAAATACTATATATCTGTAATCCCTCTTTATTTTGAATCTAAAGTTGATTGTGATTTTTTTTCAATTTTATTAGCCCTTCTATAGAAACAGCCTTTCCTCTTGATTGTTTTCTTTATTGCCTACAAATTCCCTCTCTGTATCTCTGCCCTAATTTTACTATTCCCCTTTCCGTCTTTTATAGACAACTTTATGGAAATATAATTCACATACTAAACAATTCAACCATTTAAAAAATAATGGTTTTAAAAGTATTCACAATAATGTACAGCTGTCACCACAATTAATTTTATATTTTTATCACCCCCCCCAAATAAACCCTGTGCCCCTAAAGCCTAAGTCCCAAGGCACTATTTATGTACTTTGTATCTATAAACTTCCCTGTTTTAGACCATTTCACATAAATAGAATAATGCAAAATGTGACATTTTGCATTTGACTAATGGCATGATGCTTTCCAAACTCCTCTGTGTTGTAGCATGTTCCTTATTATTGCCAATAACATTCTAGTATAAGGATACACCTTCTTATTTTTGTTCATTCATCAGGTAATGGATGCTTGCGTTGTTTCCACTTTTTGATTATTTGTATCAATAATGTTGCTGTACACATTCATAGATGACGTTTTGTAGTGTATTTTTTCATTTCTATTAGATTTATAGCTTGGGGTGGATTTGCTGGGTCATGCCTCACCCTCGTATCTTTTTAAGGAACTGTCAACAATGGCTGTACCAAAAATTCCCATTTATAAGACTTCCAATTTTCCACATCTTCACCAATACTCCACATTTTTAAAAATTAGTTTATTTTTACATCATTGTGTTCCTTTTTCCATCTCAGTTGTAATCCCCATGAGTTTCCCACCACCAATTCACCCGTGTGCCATCACATCATAGTCCAGCGCACTCCCCCCCCCCCCCCCCCATTTTTGTCCCATTCCCCACTCCACTCCTGTAAAATGTCTCTGGTATACAGATGTTCATTATTATTATAATTTTCTCCCCTGGTCCTTTATACTCCTGCTGTGAGTGAAACCATGCTCCACTTTTAATGTTAACCACCCTAATGAATCTCATTGTGGTTTTGATCTTCATTTCCCCAGTGATGTTGTACTTCTTCTCATTATCGTATTGAACTGTACGCCATCTTTGTTCAAATGTCTGTTTTCAAAAATATATATATTCTCAAAGCTAAATTGGGTTGTCTTTTCATTGTTGATTAGTAGCAATTTTTTATATATCTTTATATACCAGTCCCCTGTCAGCTGTATATCTTTCTCAGATATCCTCTCTGATTCCATTATTTTCTAATGGCAGTATTAGTTTAGTATAAAACTTTTCATTTTGATGCAATATAATTTATGTTTTTTTCCCTTTTTGTTTTGTTGTGTGTGTGTGTGTGTTTTTTTTCATTGTCTGACCCAAGATCACTTATGCTTATATTTACATGGAAAAGATTTATTGTTTTAGGTCTTCCACTAGGTCTGTGATCCATTTTTAGCTAATTTTGTTCATGATGTGAGATGGCCTCATTTATTTGCAGGTATCCAATTCTCCCAACACTATTTGTTGAGTTTTTTACTTTTTATTTTTAAAATGTTTATTTAATCCAAAAATGAAAAAAATAAACACACTGGGTGGCTTCACTTATAGGAGAAATGTTGGGGATCCAAATAAGGGATCAGAGGAAAAAAAAGTAATTGTAATAAAGTAAGAAGCAAAAAATCAAGAGGCAACTGTAAACCAGAGACTCTCTGCATCGGGGGAGGAGAGAAAAGGATCAAAATAGGGGTGGAAAGAACACAAGGGACTATGATGATGGTGCATGGGTGAATGGTGTTGGGAATTTCACAGGGACTACACCCAAGATGATAAATGTATACAAATGAATATGTAAAATAAAATGCAGTAAAAATAGTTTATTACTTTGTGAGCATAAATTATTTTTTTCTCTAATAAATGCATTTAAGGCTATAGTCTTCTTTTGTGTATAAATTTGGGCATAAGACACTGATTTTATCTTAATTTTAATAATATTTTGACTTTTTTTGGTAATTTCTATTTTATTGCATTTTACTCTGAATATAGCCTGCATTATGTTAGCTCAATATAATTTTATCCAAAGGGTGTTTCTATTAACAAATAACTATAGAGTTGGTTTTTGTCCCATTTTTTTAGATGTGCCTTTCTATTCCATCCAGCAGTTCTATGTATTTGGTCTGTGCTCAGTAAGTATGTGTGAAAAGACTTGGAGAGAGCAAGCTTTTAGAGGAAATCCTCACTAGGGTTAGAAATGATTGTAATGCCTACTGACCACTTTTCTCTGTGCCAGGCATTTTTATAAGTGCTTTGTCCTGTATTTTTTTCAATCTTCATAACAATCCTGTGAGGCAGGAACTCTTTATTCCCATTGTAGAGATGGGAAAGTGGATATACTGCAAGGGAATATTTCCTACGCAATGATTCACATCAACACCGAGACAGAGGTGGGCGTTGAACATAGCTATTTTTGTCACAGATCTCCTCTCATAACCACCCAGTGTTCTGCTTATTCCCAAGTGGTCACTTTTCTACAACATTTAATCAGTTTGATTCCTAATCACTTCTCTCACTGTTTTGAATGCATCCGGGGGAAATCTTGCCTTTTTCTCACAATCCTTTATTAAAAATTGCTCTTAAGGAAGTATGTACATACACTTCACTGTCATTCTACACTGAGCCCTCAAGATACTGCATAGCTCCACCTTGAGTTCTAGGAATCTGGTGTCCACAAAGGAAAACTCTTCCATGGCCTATGGGTTTTAAATTTTGGGGGTGTAACAAAAGAGTTGAGAAGAAATGTGATGAAGTATCTCTTCTGTCTTACGCTGAAGACCACACAAACTCATAGAGTTTCAATCTTGAGAGCAAGTCTTTACTCATAAAGAATTAGTAGATTTTCATGGAATCTGTTCCTTCTGTTTTACTTGTAAATAGAAAAATCTGGTCTTGGAGCTCTGATTGAAAATAATTTGTTATTGTTAGAGGTATTTCCAAACCAAATGAGAGCTATTTTTCTCTCCCTGTTGAAGATTATAAAGCTACATCCTTGGATATTTATTGAATAAAAGTTCCCCTCTTTCTTTCATAAAGAGAATGATTTTGTATTTTTGTTCCCTTTGGTACAGTCTCTGTGTAGCTTCCCTGCAAAAAAGCAATTTAATTTGTACTGCACAATCATTTTCTTGTGGAAAACTAATAAAATACAAATTCCATTTCTCAGCATTGGGTTGTGGCTAAAAGCTTTTGAAAGTTTTATGTAGATTCTGCTTTTCTTCTTCTCTTTTCTTTTTTGATGATGATAAGAGGCAAAATGATGTGAGTGTTATTATGTATTATGCACTTGGTTGATAAAGTCACTATCGTCTTAAATTTATTGTTTCTCTTAAATCAAAAGTGTAAGCTAATTTACGTTCAGCTCTCAAGGCACATTCACCATCTTAAAAGTAGATGTGAAATAAAAACGAAGCAAATGAATGGTTTTCTTCCAAGGTATCTTGTTTTTCTGATGGACGGAATGTAGGCTACTAGTGTTAAGCACTGCGCTGAGAGGCACTCCAGGACCACCGGACTTGTATGCTTTGAAAGGGTTCAGTCATCTTTGTTTACAAAGGAAAAGCAGACTCTATGTGTGAAAGAACTTTAATATAATTAGTGTGCACAGAGATGGGGGGGAGGAGAGGGAAAAAAAAAAAGTACAGGAACTACAAGGACAAGAAAGTTCCTAATAAGAGTTTTTTCAGTGGGACACCCCAAATTACCCATCCCTTCATGGGCAAATGCCCTTCCAAACAGAATTGACCCATAAACGGGGCCACCAAAGGCAAAAGTTTGTCACAAGTCCAAGGCACCTTTTGGTGGGAACCATAGGGAAGAGGTTTTGAAGCAGGTTCCAGCAAGATGAGACCAAAGGAGACACTGTATAAAGCAACAGCTGCCACTGTCAGCCTCCCCAAGTGTCTCTCACATACAGCTCACAGCCCCATTTCCTGCCATTCCTTAGTCAGGGGCTCCCTCCAGGACCATGTGGGCACAGGAAACTGACATGCCAGGTAAGGAGGGAAGTCAGTGGCCTCTAATACTTGTCTTTACCCCATGTGTCTCCTTCGATGTCTGCTTCCCAGCAATATAGGGATAGAAGTTGGGCTGCAGAAGCAAGAGCTGTTCTTTTTCTTCTCCAGAGCCTGCCTGCATACCCTTGTTATACCGCTTCATCTGACCCCATAGTTAAGTGGAGGCTGAGAAAATATTCCCTCCCCTGTCATAGATGTCTGCTTTCACTGGTGTCTGCTGTTCACGTGGAAGTCATGGGAGCTGTTCCAGTTTGTAGGTCCTCCCGGAAGTAGCAGATGAAAGCTTCTATTTTGTGGGAGAACTTTATATAGAAATAAAGTTAGAATAATAATAATAATAACATGAATGATCGGTACTATTTACTGAGCACCTTTTTATGTGTGGTGAGCTGTACCAGATGTGTGGGATCGATTATCCTCACAACTAGCAGGAACTTTTGTTCCATTCTTTACACATGAGAAGCAGGCATAGAGTTGGCAAGTCCTTACTCACAGACAGCAGGAAAGTAAAGAGATGGAAATAGGCTAAGTCTGGCTCCAGAGTTGTGTCTGACCATCAAGAGTGACCAGAGGACAAGGGCATTAGAAATGCCAACACTATTATTCTGGAAAGAGATGAGCAGACAGTGACTGTTCATTGGATAGCACATGTGAAGGAACATATTTAATTTCTCAAATGCTATAATTTCCAACTGATATTATCTTTGAGGGAAAGATGTATATGTGTTACATTGGTTTTTCAGTGGCTCTATTAACCTGTGTTACCCTGTTCTTCCTCTTCTGTATGACTTCTTTTCCATTTTGTGAAATACATCCATTTTGAATGTGTTTTCTGTCTAATCTTCTCTCTACACCTCAGGAAGATAAATGTTTCCTTTCTTACCTCCTTTACTATTTTGTTGTTATATCTTACCTCAGGACACTTGTAGCCCCTTTATCTCCTCCAGTCTGTTGGATTCTTGAGTGTTGGGTGCACCTGGGTAAGGGAAAGGCTCTTGGGCAGTGTGAAGGTTTTCTCCTTCCTGAGGCAAGGAAGGGGCAGGATTCAGCAGCTGTCAAAAACTGCCCATTCAACAGTAGATAAAACTGTCTTCTCCAAAGCCAGAGGTCTCTCAATAAAGCATCACCAACGCTGTGAGGGAGTTGGGGAAGAATGCTTCCTCAGGAGAAATGGAGATAATATTGCTGAGTTTTCCAGATAATTCTAAGAGTACATTTGAATATCAGACAGAGACGCCCTAAAGAAACAGCTTGATTCAGGACCTGCTTCTACCCTTATCTTGAAGTGTCTGTTTCTTGGAAGTGGCTTCTTCAAATTAATATTCAAAATCTCTCTATCCACTTTCATTGTAACTGCAAGAAAGAATATTATTTTAAACATAAGAGATTTTATCTCTCGAAATTCCCTCAGGAGCTCGGGAAGAGGCAGAAGTGGGCCCCACAGAATGCGCTGCCTGCCCCCTGCTCTTAGGAAGTGAGGGTTTCACTTCCAACTAAGAGTTCCCACATCCCATACCACCACCCACCTACCCACTGGCCCACCCAACCTCTTGAGACTTGCAAATGGAGCAGCCCTATTTCCCACCTTTCCTCAGTGGGGGGCTCTCTGCAGGACCACGGGGGTACGGGAACCTGACCTGCCAGGCTAGGGAAGGCAGTGGCCTGGCTTGCTCCTGCCGGCTCCGCAGGTGCGGCCCTAATCCCCTGGCCTAGATATCCGGCAGCCTCTAGGAACCCGGGCTCTGTGATGTAATGCTCTTTTTTCACACTCCCGGCTTAAATACAGATGGAAATTGTTGTCATGTGTCGCCAGTAATATAAAAGGCGCAAGCTTGGGCATCTTCTCTTCCTTCTCACACCGTCAGCTGCTCCTCCTGCCAGCGCCTTCTTCCCTCGAAAAACTGCTCTGTGGTCAGGTGGCCAAGGCGGCCCCAGCTCGCCTAGGAAGGGGTTCAGATCCCACACCCCCACCCCCGCCTCTCTTTACAGACGTTGCAGAGCCGAGGACCAGCGTGGTGGGAGGCTCTTTCAGGCTCACAAAGGGAAGGATTAATCTTGGCGATTGGGCTGGGGTTTGCAGGCAAGAACAAGTGGTCCACGATTGCCTTCTCAATAAGCCCCCCCCACTCCCCCCCCCAACCCTGCCCACCTCTGGATTCGAATACTCCTCATCTGGAGGAAGCCGGGGCCAGCCAGGCGGCGGCAGAGGCGCCCTTCCACCGAGGTTTGCGCTTGGGTTGTGGGAATATCCATGGAGGTGAAGATGCCTTGCGTGGTGTGTGGACCAGGGAGGAGGGGTGGGGGAAAGCCGGACTAGCTTGGGAGGACCAGATGGCTGAGGCTGCGTTTTAATTCACCAGGCAGGCCCGTTTGGCCCGGCAGAGTGGGAGGGGGAGGGGGAAATAAAAAAAAAAAAATCTGGGGTCAGTGGGTAGGGAGAGGCCGGGCTCTGGAGCAGATGCCTAGTGAACAATGGAGCTTTTGAAGGGGATGTTGGAGGAAGTGTGGCGCGCGCTTTGTATTGCCTCCTCCGCATTGCAGGTTGGAATCGGGCAGCTAAATTTTAATGAAGTACATTCCAAAGTGGGCTCGTCAGCCTGGGCTTTCGGAGCGAGGGGCTCGGCTGAATGGGGACTGGGGGCAGGAGGGGGAGGGGGCCGTTGAAATGAGTTCCTGATGGATGGTAAAGGAGGAGATGAAAGCCTGCTCAGTGTGGAGAGCTGGGGAAGGGGAGGGGGGTAGGAATCATTACGTCCCCGTGCATATTAATAGGCTCCAGCAGGTGTTGGTAAATGTATGTTGCTGCATTGTTCGGGCGCCCTGGCTGGGGAAGGCTAGGGAGAGAGAGTGCTGCTTCTCCCGGGCGCGGCGGGCAAATGTCTTTGCACTTTGGAGGGCTTTGCTGGCTTCCGAGAAAATAAAGGCGGAAAGACCTGCGGTCCCTCTCCCCTACCTCCCATTTTAAAAAGAAAGAATGTGCAGAAGGCTTTCTAAGTTTGCTTCCTGGAAATTAAAGTGTGTATCTGAGCACTGTCTTATCTAGGTAAGATATGCATGTCTGTGGGCATCCAGAAAATATGAAGCGGAATAGTGTCGCTTGCTGAGTGCTGGCGAGCTGAAAGGCTGTTCTCCCGATTTTGTGCTTGTGAGTGAATGGTTCAAGTCAGGGAGCTGGGGATTTTTTTTTTTTTTTTTTTTTTTTTAAGAGGCAGGAATGCTCTTTCCTCCCCAGTCGTTTTCCCTGGTCCTAAGTCTAGCAGACCTGAGTACCTGGGTGGAAGGAAGCTGCCATCTCCATGGTGCTGGTACAGGGACTTTGCCTAACACACAGAGGGGGTGGATTTATGTGTGAGCCAAAGCATTGGGTATGTTTTGGTTCTTTATAAGGATTAGGTAAGTAGTGCCCTTTTCTCTTTCCTAGAGTTTACTGTGCTCAAGGCTCTGTAATTTCAGAATCATTTAAAAGAGGACTTAATAGTGTTAGTCAAATAAGGCCGGCTGGTTTTGTTGATGTTTGTTTCACTACTCCTCATGAAGTAGTATTGAATGCTTTCAAAGGCTGGGACCTATTTGTTGGGGGTTCAAATAAATCTGGAAGCTTTTGCATGAGGGCATTATGACTTTTAATATTTAAAAAAATGTAAGTATCGGTGTATATGCAATGAACATAAACCCATGTTTATGTACTTGGTAAACCACAGAACAGCATATTGTCTTTCTGGTTCTGGGGCAATACATTATAAGTTAAGAAAGGTCTTTTGTCATTTCAAGGCTAATACTTTATGAAAATGGGTGTCTTATGTGACTTTGAAAGTCTTCAAGTATTGATTGAATATGCTCTTATGTTCTTTTTATGATTTAACTTGTACTGTAACTCATCAATGAAGACTTGATTCCTCCATTTCTCAACAGAGGAACAGAGCATTCTGCTCTTATTTCCCAACACCTTTAAGCTTTTGGTTTTGGGGGAGGAGATGGGTCAGAGGGAAAGGCTCCCTGCTGAGAACCCTCCTCTCTAATCCCTAATTTTCATGCCCCCCTTCAACCCCACTGCATTAAATACTGAAGGTTATTTGTTTGCAAACCTATGCAGTTTCTTTCTTAGGCTGTGTATTTCAAGCTGTATATCTGTGGCAACATTTTAAAAAATGTTTGGGTTTTGGCATTTGGATTTGTTATGCTTTCAATAAAGAGATGTGGAATCAGCTGGCTGTTCTTTTTTACTTAATTATGACTCTGAATAGGTCTGTTTTTACCTTTGGACTTCAAGGCTTACCTGCAGCTCCTTGCTGTGAGCAAGTGTGGGCAGTTGTGTTTATTATGGTACCTCCCCCGGTGGGGACCAGAGCTGCACTTCCTCTTATGTTAACTGTGGAGGTAATTTATGATGTGCCCAATTGTGTCTGCTGGAGCTCTCAACCCATCAAACACAGGTTTTCTAAAAACTTGCAAATAAAATTTCATGTGGGTTTCATTAATAGAAAGGACTTCCTTGAAACACTTAATTTTTTTTTTTTTGTCTAGGATTGTTTTTATGATAAACAACTCTAGACCTTTGACATTATATATATAAACAGAAAATATACCTATGCATTAAAGGTTCCATACAAGCAACAATGATCGACTACTATTAAAACATATCTAGCAGAGGATTTTGGTGGATGTGCCTCTTTTCCCTCTGATTTTCTGTTTATTCTTGGTATGTGTGTGCACACAGGGAGGAAAAAGAAGAGGCACTGAACTCTCCATATTTATAAAGGTGACAATCACGTTGCTGGACACCAGTTATTGAAGTATTGCATTGTGGTTTCTACTTAACCATGTTCTGTGTCATAAAAAGTGACGTGATACCAAATGAGGTTGCCTATTTAATAATGCCAGTAAGCTTGCATGTAAGTTTCCAACATTTGCTTAATGGAGTTGCTCCAGGAAGAAAAATTGGGGCTACTAATAACTAAAAGTACTATTTCTAAAGTTGAATGTTAATATAGGTATAATATGATACCTATAGAAGAAGCTTAATCAAAAGATTCCTCCAATTAAAACTCTCCAAATGTTTTTCTTCATTTTTCTCAGCATGTTTGTCTTTTATCTTGGAGAAAAAGTTTATTTGATCATCAGACCCCAAATATTTGAATGTCAGCACATCCCCTGCAGTCATACTGACACCCTCTGGCACCAGAGACACTGACTGTCTTGGCATTTTTTGAGAAGTCCGGTGGGAAGAAAGGGTAGCACTGATAACCACTCTTTAGGTAACTGCCTATTGCTAACAACAGTCAGTTCTGGGATGACTGTTCGGCTTTTGAAGAGTTAAAACACTATGTGCAAAGACCTTGTTTGCTTTATCTCTTTGGCCAGGTCTTGGTAACAGGTTTCTGCTGTTGTGGGATCCTACTTGACTTCTTTTGGATGCTCACAGACAGGAAAATTATGCCCACACTCTTCCTATGAATAGTGCAGTGTACCATGTTTCATTGATAAATCTATTTGACTTGTGGTTCTTTACTGATAAAAATGGCGTGGAATCCATTAATTCCCTAACATTCTAGTGAATGAGTGACTGAATGTTTTTAGGATAGCTGCTGTATGTTATTTTCCTGATGGTCTTGGTGCTGCTGTTGCTGATTTTTATTCCTTCTGCCAATGAAATTGACATCTTTTATATTCTCAATAGGCTGTCAGACTCAAGAATAACAAAAAGATGTGAAAAATCGTAGCTAACTTTTACTAAGATGTTTGAGAAGATATTAAGCATGAGAGTAAAAAAGTGGTTTGGGGCTTGAAATTGAATCACTAGGTTGAATATTCTTGAAAAAAAAATTAGCTTTAATGTTTACTTGAATGAAGAGATTTTTAAAGTTTGTAGCCAAAACAACAGAATTCTTATAACTCTATTTTGTGAGTCTTAGCACTTAGAGGTTTTGCTATTACTCTTTCTACATCCCAGTTCTAATCACATTGCTTAGCACATATGAGTTTGATATATACTTGAATAAGTAGATGAATTGAAAATTTATCTAGTCATTTTTAAGAAGTTTGAACTATCTTCTAGAGTGGAATTGTCATTACTGAAACAGTAAAAGGTACAACTCTGAAAAAATATCTTAAAAATAGTCAAAGAGGGCCCTCCCTGGTGGCGCACTGCACTAAGAAACTTAAGCCACTTCTGCATGAGTTCGATCCCGGCCTGCCCCGGAGGAGATCCACATGGTGAGGCAGACCTCTCCTGACCCGCCCGCTGCTCCCCTCAGCAGTGTACTTCGTCGATCTGCCTGTTCTGCTCCCCACTCTGTCTCTGGTGAATCCTCTCACCCTCTGCATCTCTGGCCTGTACCCCAGTTCTGTATGAATAAATAAATCTTTAAAAAAAAAAAGTCAAAGAAAACCATTTCCCTTGTATTTAAAATTTGTATTCTTTCTCCAAAAGTGATCGTTTAGCCTCAGTTCTATTGGAAATAAAAAATCAGTTAGGTTTCTGCTTACTGAGTTATTGATCTTAAAAGTTGTCACTATTCTCCTAATTAAGAATCACCTTTCCCCTCTGTCTTTCCTGTCTAGTGATCCTTATTTCTGAATAACCACACTGGGTATGTTTCTTTGTCTTAATAAAGATTAGATAAGTAGGAATCTACACATTTGACAGCAACTATAGGAAATAATGGGGGTGCCAAAATATTCTAACTAATTATGGAACAATGCCAATGAGAGCTGCTTTGAAAATACATAATGATTATAGATAGAGACCTGAGAGGGAGGCAGAAGAACTAATGCTTTTAACTCCTTTCTGTGAAGTTTAGTAGTCTAGTTTATGGAGGCTTCTGCTGTTTCTTTTTCAGTATTTTGGGCACTTTAATTCACCAGGTATATTCTTTATCTGGGAGGTGATTTCATACTAGAACCAACTTATTTATAAGTATCTGGGTGGCTACTCTGTGTCAGGCACTCTTGATGTATTAGAGATAGCTCAGTAAATGAAACAGACAAAATCCCCTACTCTCTTGGAGCTTGTATTAGAATCATGTTAATTTAATCCTAATAAGATCAGGGAATAGGGAATAAAGTTGAAATGATTAGTTAAAACAAAATCTTTCAGCTGTGAGAAGTTTGTTCCTAAAAACTACTGTGGTTGGAAAAAACTGAAGTTTGCTTGATTGCTTGCAAAAAGGTCAAGCACAAAAGATGACAATAGAAAAATCTTGCTTCATTCTTGGTAACAACTACTTGGCATTCAAAGCATGGGGTGAAGGTTGGTCTAAGCCAATCAAATACTACTTAGATGGAGAGATTCTAAGTTGTTTCCCCTTTTCGTGTGTGTGTGTCACATTTTATGCTGTCATCACTGTGCTCGAATTCATCTTTTCCTCATTGATTCTTCATATGGGCAGTTTTCTACATGACAACATATGTATATTTCTCCATCATTCTTTCTAATAATAACTGGAACATAGATCTGTTAGGTGACTGTTTGCTAGGACCGGTTCATTTTTTTTCACAAAGGAACTCTAAGATATATT